GTAGAAGCTGTCCAAAATCCCCAGTTTACCATGGACCTGCCCTGCCCAGCTCACTCATTTCTATCACCTGTCTTGCCACAGTCAGTACTGAATTTGCAATCCTGGCTTTAAGATTCTTCTGTAGGATCAGTTCCTCTTCCGAGCCACTGCCCTTGTTCAGTAGTGAACTCTCAGAAGAAAATCTTTCTTCCTATTAATAGTACTCAGGTTCAAGGCTTGACTAGGATATCTCCCTGCTGGTTTCCTGTCTGCGTTGGCACCACTTAGTGATGAACTGGTTAAAGCCATGCCAGAGAAGGACTTTGCCAAACAGAAAGAAAGCAAGGCCTGAGTCTTGAGGAAAACCCACAGTAGAAAAGCAGAGTGGGGGAAAGAAGCCTCTCCAGAATGAGCTTCCTATTTGCTCTTAATTTTACATTTCTCATGTACAGACCTGAGAATCAGGCCCCTTTCTGGAGCAAAATCTCTGTAGCCAGAATCCCTGGGGCAAATCTCCAATGTGAAGTTTCTTGCTTGAATTCACTAGCTGAGTCTTGCACACGTTTGCCTTGTCATAGGCTGACATTCCTGACATAAGCATGTGCGAAGCTATCCCCTTTGTATGAATTATGTACAGGCTAGAACCCAAATTATTTCTGATCCCCATTACAGAAGTTAGCCTGCTTCCTTTTTTAATTCTGACATAGAAGCATATAGTGTTTGCCCAGGAGATATGAATCTGGGCACGCCTGAAGGGTGATGTATTTTGCTTCTCTGTGGTCCTATTCACTAGCAGCCTCCAACACCATTCTCTCACTCCCGTTCCCCACCCACACAGATCCATGATAAACCCACGGCCATGAGAGGTGTGTAGGTACGGCTAACTGTCCCTGGGTGGCAGCAGTTGGGAAGGTGGAGCTCCCAAGAGCTCCCCTCCTCTTAGTGTTGGCCACATCGCCCTGTTCCACCTGCTCAAAAGAGCCATGGTCGATCTCTCTGGGTCAAATCTCAGTGAGCATTTGTCGTATCCAGAACCCATCCTTTGCCACACAGCTCCCCATTGCCATTTTCCACGTATTTATGTGTTTGGTTAATGTCTCTTTCTCTCACCAAAAGGGCACCATGTCTGTTTTGTTCATCTATTTATATCCAGCAACTAATATACTCCCTACCCAGAGCAGGCACTCAATAACAACTGTATAAGAGAATTAATTTCAGCGCATTCGTAGTGGAAAGGACCTTAGATGAAATTTGGTTGCTTTCTTTATGTGACAGATGAATACAGTGGTGAAGAAATGTTCCCAAATCACGTGGATTTTCAGAGAGGCAGCATTAAGTAGTGGTTAAGACCAAAGACTCTGAAGCAAAGTGCTTGGGTTCGTATCTCAGTTCTACCACTTGCTGACTTAGTAAGCACTTAACATCTTTGTGCCTCAGTCTCTTATCTAGAAAATGGAAATAATTGTAGCAGCTCCTAAGGTTACTATGAGGATTAAATGACATTAATAAGCACTTTATAAAGTGTTTAAAATAGTACTATTTTAAATGTTTGTGTTTGTCAAAAAAAAAAAAAAGAGGCTAGGATAGGTTCAAATTCTATGTCTCTTAACACCTCATCTGGTGCTTTTCACAAAACTGCCTATTGTTATTTTGTCATTGGTATAGAGTAGTGCTGCCCAGTAGAATTTTTCGTGACAATAGAAAGGCTCTACACTGTCCAATATGGTAGCCCACTGGCCCCATGTGACTGAGTACTTGAAATGAGGCTTGCATGACTAAAGAAATTAATTTTTAATTTATTTACTTTAATTAACTTTAATTTGAATTGAGCTACCCTAATAGACAGGGTCATTGCAACAGCTAAGTCATCATGGCTGATAGAATACGTGTCCTACTGCCCTAAAACTCTGGGGGATCCTTTTGAGCATAAGAATTACAGTGTTCTGGAAGCCAAGAGACTCCCCACATCTTTATTTTGGCCAGACCTCCCAGGCAAGGCACCTGACATCAAGGTGAGGTTGATGCTGTATCAGGTTGCTGTACAGGTTGGCATATACCCCAAAACTGTGGTTACATAAACCAAATAAGAGCATCTTCCTTTTTTTTCAGGACCATACATGATGAATTTTAAAACAACAACAGTCTATAGATAAACAAGACTTGCAAAGCTCTAGCATGAACATTTTTTTCAACTAGCTTTAGAATTATACATTCTTCAAGAGTGCTTAAAATGCTACATTTAGAGAACACTTTTCTGTATGTATAGCTTTCTACTGCCATTAAAAAAAAAAGTCAATCCAAGAAAAAGGCAAGACCTCAACTGCTTGGTTTCCAAATTAAGCTACGGCTTGCGCTAAAAATAGCTTGCCAGTGTTGAGAATCTGTTCCCTGAATTTAAATGGCTTGCTCCTCTCCCAGAGGACAACATTCACTGTGTTCCATGGCAGGGGTGGACTCTGGGAAAGCACATTTCATTTTTTCTCTGGATTCATTTCTACTTTGTGCTCAGAGCAGAGTGAAAAAAAACTAACAATAGTTTTAGGCTCCACACATATGCATTGTAAAGTGTAATGAGCATAAATATCTATAGCTTTTAGTAGGAGTGTGTGTGTGTGTGTGTGTGTGTGTGTGAATTCAGCTTTGTGTAGATAATCCTAAAGTATCTATAAAAGCCTGAAGGTATGTTCTGAATAGATTTTACCTTCTTTTTTTCCCAAACATGTTACCATTTACTCTACTAAAATTTATCTTCTCCTAATTGTCACTGAAAAGTTTTATGCTTTTTAATTTTAAAAACAATCTCTATTTTTTCTTATATCTCATGGAACTCGGGGATGGCTTTCTAACTGGTGGTAAAGACCAGAAGATGAAAATAAGAGATGTAAGTTGCATGCTCAATATGGGGAAAAAGTGAAAAAAGTTGTATATCAAGATGGGTTGTATTACATATACTTAAAATTTTTTTAATACTAAAGAAAGGATAAGGCATTTCTCATGGGCAGCAATTTTTTTTTTTTTTTTTTTTTTTTTTTTGAGACAGATTCTTGTTCTGTTACCAGGCTGGTGGTGTGATCACTGCTCACTGTAGCCTCGACCTCCTGGGCTTAAGCAAGCCTCCCACCTCAGCCTCCCAAGTAGCCAGGACTACAAGTATGTGCCACCACCCCAGTTAATTTTTGTACTTTTTAGTAGAGGTGAGGTTTCTCCATATTGCCCAGGCTGGTCTCAACCTCCTTGGCTCAAGTGATCCTCTTGCCTTGGCTTCCCAGAATGTTGGGATTACAGGCGTGAGCCACTGCATGTGGCCTACAGCATTTTTTTTTTAAGTTTTCATTTTTATCAGCTATACATGTACATAGTCTAAGTGGTCAAATAATTCTACAAACCTTATAATTATGTTTTAGGATGAGTGCTTCTGCATATGCAAATACTTCCATAGGTACCTGCAAAGCCCTCCTTTTTTATTTTCTTGTTCACATGGACAATACATTTTAAGTATAATAGCCATGTTTCCTAACATCAGTGTTCTCTCTCCCACCTACCTTTTTAAAAAAATTTTTGAAATCTTTGATACTGTTTTTTATTTAAAAAGTTACTGCATTCAACAGGAGTGGGGTAAAAATTAAAAAGTTATGGATACATATCATAAAATTAAAATAATTCAGTAATATAGAAAACATAAAATAAAAGCCCTCTGAAATCTCACTTTTCCATGGATAACCACAAAGTTTGATGCTTATCCTTCCTGATCCCTCAACCCCTACCTGGTAGTCATTGGCAGGCAATCAACATTTCATTTACTCATTCAACACATTTTTTAAGATTGAATGCAGAATGAGACACTGTGCTGCAGAAGGATTACAGTGATGACAAGGATGAATCAGAACTAGTTGATACCTCAGGAACACATAGCAGAGTTGAAGCATGAGCTGACATAAAATTGAGAAAATGAAACGTGCTAAAAGGAGCACATTGTGCCAGGGAGTTTGGCTGCAAAGAGAGGATTTCCATCAGGGTGGACTAGGACAGGTGTCCCAGGAGAAGCTGCACTTAAGCTGGATCAGAGAAACAGGTATGACATGGACATGGAAAGATGGGGAAAGGCATTCTAGAGTCAAGGAACAGAGTAAGTGCAAGAAGGAATATACCCAAAGCAAACAATGCTTGATGAATTTTGTTTAAGACACAGAAGCAGCCGATGGAAAAGCAAGGTGGGAAGTCGCCTTTAGTCACCATGACTTAGGTTGCAACTTCTCTGAGGGCAATGAAGAGACCTTCAAATTTACAGGGCAAGGGTGTGAGGCAGACAGAGTGTTAAGGGCTGAATTATGTCCCCCACCAAATTCATATGTTGAGTCCCTAATTCCCAATGTACCTGTATTTGAAGGTAGGGCCTTTCTGGAGGAAATTAAGGTTAAATGAAGTTGTAAGAGTGGTGCCATAATCTAATAGGACTGGGTATCCTATAAGAAGAAGAAGAGACAATAGGGGTGTGACTATGCAAAGAAAAGCTCACATGGGAACACAGTAAGAAGGCAGCCACCTGCAAGTCAAGGAGAGAGGCTTCACCAGAAACCAACCCTGCCAGCACCTTCATCTTGGAGCTCCAGCCTCCAAAACTGTGAAAAATTATCATATCTGTTGTTTAAGCCACCCAGTCTGTGCCATTTTGTTATAGCAGCCCTAGAAGACTAATACACAACTTTCCTTTGGTTTATAACATTTCTCGGTTCTTACTAAAGAACAGACTTTAGAATGGCCACATATTAAAATGATGGAATTACTTTTATCCTTTGTGTTCTTTGCTTCTCCAGTTAAATAAGTGAGATTGACTTTGTTGCTGTGTTTTATCATCATTTAATGTGAGAGCCTCATATCAAAAACCCATTAATATTTACAGTATGCTAACTTCTCTACAAATATCCAAAAGTCACAATCTTAGCATCCTGAGTGACTTCAGTAATATAGCTTAATAAAAATAACAATGAAGTTGAGATTCGCGTTCCCAATTTTAGGTGGCAGTCACAACTCATACTATTCGGACAGATGGCACAGAAACCGCTGCGCCTCTTGGTTTGAGGAGATGTTGAAGGAAAGTTTGATATTTTGTTCAATAGAGTTCGAGCAATTCAGAAGAAAAGTGGAAACTTTGATCTGCTGTTGTGTGTAGGAGATTTCTTTGGCTCCACCCCAGATGCCGAATGGGAAGAGTATAAGACTGGCATCAAGAGAGCTCCTATTCAGACATATGTGCTTGGTGCTAGTAACCAGGAAACAGTAAAATATTTCCAGGATGCTGATGGATTTGAATTAGCTGAAAACATTACTTATCTGGGTCGTAAAGGTATCTTCACTGGAAGCTCGGGGCTGCAGATTGTGTACCTCAGTGGCACAGAGTCCTTAAATGAGCCAGTACCAGGTTATAATTTTAGTCCCAAGGATGTGTCTTCTCTGAGAACGATGCTGTGTACAACCTCCCAGTTTAAGGGTGTTGGTATCTTGCTCACATCCCCGTGGCCCAAGTATGTGGGGAACTTTGGGAATTCTTCTGGAGAAGTGGATACCAAAAAATGTGGTTCTGCTTTGGTTTCCAGTCTTGCCATGGGCTTGAAACCAAGATATCATTTTGCTGCTTTGGAAAAGACCTATTATGAGAGGCTTCCATATAGAAACCATATCGTTCTACAGGAAAATGCACAGCATGCCACCCGGTTTATAGCTCTGGCAAATGTTGGAAATCCAGAAAAGAAAAAGTATCTTTATGCATTCAGTATTGTTCCCATGAAGCTAATGGATGCAGCAGAACTGGTAAAACAGCCTCCGGATGTCACTGAAAACCCTTACAGAAAATCTGGGCAGAAAGCATCCATAGGAAAGCAAATTCCTGCCCCTGTGGAAGAATCAGCCTGTCAGTTTTTCTTTGATTTAAATGAAAAGCAGGGAAGGAAGCATTCATCCACAGGTAGAGATAGCAAATCTTCTCCTCACCCAAAGCAGCCTCGCAAACCTCCTCAGCCTCCAGGACCCTGCTGGTTTAGCCTTGCTAGCCCTGAAGTGGAAAAGCATTTGGTGGTCAACATCGGCACACATTGCTACCTCGCCCTGGCCAAAGGAGGCTTATCTGATGACCATGTCCTCATCCTGCCCATTGGACACTACCAGTCAGTGGTGGAGCTTTCAGCAGAGGTGGTAGAAGAGGTGGGGAAGTATAAGGCCACACTGAGACAGTTCTTTAAGAGTTGAGGGAAACGGTGTGTTGTATTTGAGAGAAATTATAAGAGCCATCACCTCCAGCTACAGGTCATTCCTGTCCCAGTCAGCTGCTGTGCTACTGTTGACATTAAAGATGCCTTCATTACCCAGGCCCAGGAGCAGCAGATAGAGCTGTTGGAAATCCCAGAGCACTCTGACATCAAGCAGATTGCACAGTCAGGAGCAGCATATTTTTATGTTGAACTTGACACAGGAGAAAAGCTTTTCCACAGAATTAAAAAGAATTTTCCTTTGCAGTTTGGAAGGGAGGTCCTGGCCAGTGAAGCCATCCTTAATATTCCTGGTAAGTCTGACTGGAGGCAGTGTCAGATCAGTAAGGAAGACGAGGAGACCCTGGCTCGCCGCTTCCGGAAAGACTTTGAGCCCTATGACTTTACTCTGGATGACTAAACAAAGGGAAGATCTTTTTATGAACTTCATAGGAAGTAGTAAAGCCTTTTTCTTTTTTTTTTTAATTAAAAGAATTTTTTTTGAGACAAGGTCTCGCTCTGTCACTCAAGCAGGACTGCGGTGGCGCAGCTGTGGCTCGCTGTAGCCTCAACCTCCTGGGCTCTAGAGTTCTTCCCACCGCAGCCTCCTGAGTAGCTGGGACCACCAGGCGCATGCTACCATGCCTGGCAAACTTTTTAAATTTTTGGGTGGAGGGTAGAGACGGGGGTCTCCCTGTGTTGCCCAGGCTGGTCTGTAACGCCTAGGCTCAAGGGATCCTCCGCCTTGGCTTCTTAACCTGCTGGGATTACAAGCATGAGCCACCATTCCTGGCCTAGAAGCATATTTTTAAAGAAACTAAAATCTCCCATGGGGACTGTTTCCCTGCCTCTTTTGTGCAGTCCCATGGAACCTGCCTGCAGCAAGAGGCCTAAGATTGAATCTTTTTGGGGAAAAGTCATTCTAGGATGAAAATCCTATGTTAAGGCTGGGCGTGGTGGCTCACGCTTGTAATCCCAGCATTTGGGAGGCCGAGGTGGGCAGATCACAAGGTCAAGAGATGGAGACCATCCTGGCCAACATGGTGAAACCCTGTCTCTGCTAACAGTACCAAAATCAGCTGGATGTGGTGGCGCGCGTCTGTGGTCCCAGCTACTCAGTAGGCTGAGGCAGGACAATTGCTTGAACCTGGGAGGTGGAGGTTGCAGTGAGCCAAGGTCGCACCACTGCACTCCAGCCTGGGTGACAGAGCAAGACTCTGTCCAAAAAAAAAAAAAAAAAAAAAATCCTATGTTAAAAGCATGTCGCCAGGCACAGTGGCTCATGCCTGTAATCCCAGGACTTTGGGAGGCCGAGGCAGGTGGATCACCTAAGGACTGGAGTTTGAGACCAGCCTGGCCAACATGGTGAAACCCCGTCTTTACTAAAACTACAAAAATTAGCTGGGTGTAGGGCCAGTTTCCTGTAATCTCAGCCACTTGGGAGGCTGAAGCAGGAGAATGGCTTGAACCTGGGAGGTGGAGGTTGCTGTGAGCCGAGATTGCTCCACTGCACTCCAGCCTGGGTGACAGCGAAACTCCATCTCAAAAATAAAATAAAAGAATAAAAGTATGTCTGTCATCCAGCTTCAAGTACAGCTTGTGTATATCAACATTTTCAAAAACCTTTAAACTACCAAATGAAATCCAGATGTTTTTCCAAAAAAAAAAACAAAAACAAAAAACAAAAAACAATGAAGTTAACGCAGCTGCTAGCACTGAGTGTTTACAATGTGTCAGATAGTATTCTAAGTGCTTTTTATATATTGATTCATTTAATCCTCACAACAACCCTGTCCGGTAGTTACTATTATTATCCCCATTTTACAGATCAGGAAACTGTCATGCATGTCCCTGTGAAGAGACCACCAACCGGCTTTGTGTGAGCAACAAGGCTGTTTATTTCACCTGGGTGCAGGCAGGCTGAGTCCAAAAAGAGAATCAGCAAAGGGAGATAGGGGTGAGGCCGTTTTATAGGATTTGGTTAGGTAGTGGAAAATTACAGTAAAAGGGGGTTGTTCTCTGGCGGGCAGGGGCAGGGGTCACAAGGTGCTCAGTGGGGGAGCTTCTGAACCAGGAGAAGGAATTTCACAAGGTAATGTCATCAGTTAAGGCGGGAACTGGCCATTTCCACTTCTTTTGTGATTCTTCACTTGCTTCAGGCCATCTGGATGTATATGTACAGGTCACGGGATATATGATGGCTTAGCTTGGGGTCAGAGGCCTGACATTCCTGTCTTCTTATATTAATAAGAAAAATAATGTAAAATAGTGTTGAAGTAATGGGGCAGTGAAAATTTTGGGGGAGTGGTATGGAGAGAGAATGGGTGATGTTTCTCAGGGCTGCTTTGAGCAGAATTAGGGTCACTGTGGGAACCTAGCGTGGGAGAGATGAAGCTGAAGGAAGGTTTTGGGGTAAGGGGTGATATTGTGGGGTTGTTAGAAGAAACATTTGTTATATAGAATGATTGGTGATGGCCCGGATATGGTTTTGTATGAATTGAAAAACTAAACGGAAGACATGAGGTCTGAATAAGAGAAGGAGAAAAACAGGTATTAAAGGACCAAGAATTGGGAGGACCCAGGATATCCAATTAGAGAGTGCCCAAGGGGGTTCAGCGCAATTACTCACTTGGTTGGTGAGTTTTGGGGCTCTATTCTTGACAGAGTCCTCTTTTTTAAGTTGGAGGCTGAGCTTGGTGAGGTGTGTTTTTAAAAGACCATTAGTCTGTTCTACCTTTCCTGAAGATTGAGGACAGTAAGGGGTATGAAGGTTTTACTGAATACCAAGAGCCTGAGAAACTGCTTGGGTGATTTGACTAATAAAGGCCAGTCCATTATTGGACTGTATAGCGGTAGGAAGGCCAAACCTAAGAATTATGTCTGACAGAAGGGAAGCAATGACCGTGGTGGCCTTTTCAGACCCTGTGGGAAAGGCCTCTACCCATCCAGTGAAAGTGTCTAGCCAGACCAAGAGGTATTTTAGTTTTCTGACTCAGGGCATGTGAGTAAAGTCAATTTGCCAGTCCTGGGCAGGGGCAAATCCCTGAGCTTGATGTGTAGGGAAGGGAGGGGGCCTGAACAATCCCTGAGGAGTAGTAGAATAGCAGATGGAACACTGAGAAGTGATTTCCTGGAGGATATATTGGCATGATGGAAAGGAAATGAGAGGTTTTAAGAGATGGGCTTGTAACCTACATGGAAGAGGTTATGAAATGATAACAGAATAGAAATGGACCTATGAGGCTGGAAGGAGATATTTTGCTTGGTCTAAGAACAATTTGCCTTGTGTGGAAAGAGATTGATAGGTGGAAGCTTCAGTTGGGGAGTAGGTGGGAGTGACTGATTAGAAGGAGAAAAACTGGCCATGAGGAACAGAAGTTGGAACGCTAGCTGCTTCTTTAGCAACCTTATCAGCATAACCATTGCCCTGAGCAATGGGATCTGATGCCTTTTGATGGCCCTTGCAGTGAATGACTCCAGCTTCCTTTGGAAGTAAAGTGGCCTTGAGAAGAGTTTTTATTAAAGAGGCATTAATGATAGAGGACCCTTGCATAGTGAGGAAATCTTTTTCAGCCTACATAACAGCGTGGTGGTGCAGGATATGGAAGGCATATTTAGAGTCAGTATAAATATTAACACATAGTCCCTTTGCAGGAATGAAGGCCCAAGTTATGGTAATGAGTTTGGCTTGCTGAGAGGTAGTGGAGAGAGGCAGAGCGGTAGCCTCAATGATAGATGTGCAGGATACTATAGCCTGCCTTTGCTGGTGAGTGGCAATTAGGCCTGGTGGAACTGCCATCAATAAACCAAGTGTGATCAGAGTGAGGAACAGAAAAGAAGGAAATATGGGGAAATAGAGTGAATGTCAGGTGGATCAGAGATACAATCATGGGGGTCAGGTGTGGTATCAGGTATAATGTGGGGGCCAGCCTAAAACAGTAAAGTCAAGTTGGACAGAAAGGCTACAGGGCACAGTCCCAGCTCTTGTGTAAGAATTTTGACCACACAGCCCTATATTTTAGCTGTGTGTAATGAAAAGGGTTGGGATGAGTTAGGGAGAGCTAGTGTGGGAGCAGCTTCTAGGGCTATTTTTAAGGAAGGGAAAGACGAGTAGCAAAAGGATTAGGATCTATGGGGTCAGCTAGGTTTGCTTTTGTGAGTTTATATAATGGTTTAATCAGGATGGTAAAACTAGGTATCCAAAGACAGAAGTATCTAACCATGCCTAGGAAGGAAAGGAGTTGTTTTGTAGAAGGGGTTGGGGTTTGGGAGATTAGCCAGACATGATCAGCAGGGAAAGCATGTGCGTTTTCATGAAGAATTATGCCGAGATAGGTAAGGGATGAGGAAGAAATTTGGGCTTGACTGAAGTAATGGGGGCTGTCCGTGAAATCTTGCAGCAGTACAGCCCAGGTAATTTGCTGAGCCTGATGGGTGTCAGGGTCAGTCCAAGTGAAAACAAAGAGAGGCTGGGATGAAGGGTGCAAAGGAATAGTAAAGAAAGCATGTTTGAGATCCAGAACAGACTAATGGGTTATGGAGGGGTTGTGGAGGGAGGTATTGAGGATAGGAGAGTCTATGGCTTTGGCACCATGGAGTGGATAGGCAAGATAATTTGGTTGATAAGGTGTAGATCCTGAACTAACTTGTAAGACTTGTCCGGTTTTTGGACAGGTTAAATGGGGAACGGTAAGAAGAGTTTATGGGCTTTAAAAGGCCATGCTGTAACAGGCGAGTAATAATGGGCTTTAATCCCTTTAAAGTGTGCCGTGGGATGGAATATTGGTGTTGAGCAGGGTAAGGGTGATTAGGTTTTAATGGGATAGTAATGGGCATGTGACTGGTTGCCAGGGAGGGAGTAGAGGTGTCCCATACTTTTGGGTTAAGGTCAGGGGAAACGAGAGGAGGATGTGAAGGAGGCTTTGAACTGGGGAAAAGGGTGGCAATGAGGTGTGGCTGTAGCCTAGGAATAGTCAGGGAAGCAGATAATTTAGTTAAAATGTCTCAACCTAATAAGGGAGCTGGGCAGGTGGGGATAAGTAAAAAGGAGTGCATAAAAGAATGTTGTCCAAGTTGGCATCAGAGTTGGGGAGTTTTAAGAGGTTTAGAAGCCTGGCCGTCAATACCCACAACAGTTATGGAGGCAATGCCCTTGAAAAGAAGGTAATGTGGAGTGGGTAGTCTCCATATTAATTAAGAAGGGGACTGACTTACCCTCCACTGTAAGAGTTACCCAAAGTATCTGTGACAGTCCATGAGGCTTCCGAGGTGATCGGGCAGCGTCAGTCTTCAGCCACTAAGCCAAGAAGATCTGGGAAGAAGTCAGTCAGAGGGCCTTGGGCCAGACTTCCAGGAGCTCTAGGAGTGACTGCCGGGCGAGTTGGACAGTCCAGTTTCCAGTGGGGTCCCACACAGATGGAACATAGCTTGGGAGGAATCCTGGGCTGCGGGCATTCCTTGGCCCAGTGGCCAGATTTCTGGCACTTGAAGCAAGATCCTGATGGAGGAGGTCCTGTAGGAATGCTTGACCACTGCAGCTTAGGCATTTTGAAGTTTTTGTGTGCTGGAGATGTGGCTGGATTTTCTCTCACAGCAGAGGCAAGTAATTGTAACTCTTTTCTATTATTGTATACCTT